ATGATATGATAACGTTTTCACTTTCTAATTAAATTGTTGGTTTATGTTTAATGTGTAAATGGGAAAACGTGTGTGTGTGTGTGATTGTATCTTTAATTAGTTAGCGTAGATTTTTGACATGAAATTACAAATACTTTGAGGTGGTATAGATGATTTGTAAGAGCTCATTTGCTGCAAGACCGGTACAAATGCAAAAAATCGGTTTTGCACAAAACGCGTTTTGAGTTTTCAATTTACTCACACCTTAAATAATAAAGATGAAATTCTACAGTCTCTTAATCTGATATGACAACATGATTTTAGATTTATGCTGGTATTGCAGCAAATGAGCGATATACATTTTTCATTGCAGAATTTCACATTTTGATGCATAAAAATATTCAGTTCAGTATCATAAATTTTGTTGTTGTTTACAGTGACGTGATTAACCATTTTGCAAAAAAAAAAATAAATAAATTTAATGAAGAAGGTTTTGGTGGTATCTATGTGTATTATCATGACAAAAGTGCACGATCTACCGTTGTGTCCCATATCATTGATGCTTGCGGGATTTCTTAATTCAGCACACATTCGATATTGCATGAAAACATGTCCGAACAAAAGTTAGTTGTCGTGGGATACAACACAATTGAAAATTCGCTAAAAAGGAGAATTCTATCATATCGTAATGAGTAATTGCAGATCTGTGTGTCTCAGCCCCAAACCATCTATCAATAGACCGTGTGGGTATTTGAAGACGAGCCAAACCCAAAAAATGTTGTCTATTCGATGAAAATAGTCACAAGTTTCTTCAGCATAACTGGTCATGTGGCGACTGCTCCACTTGAGCAGCGTCGACGGCCGCTTCTGAGTTGTTAACCACAATCGTAGTCTTCGAAGCAATTCGAAAAACGAACAAGAGAGCACACCATGCCATTACAAGCTATAACACATCAATCATTCAAACACTAGCTTTGACTGGCCGATTTTTCTAGCCTCCAATATTAGGCGGGTCTTCGAAGAATGGGTGCTACACTACTCAAATACTGGTAAACACTTTCTCAGTTTTCTTTGGAAAGATTAAAATTCCGCTGAATTGAAGACTGATATGTAATAAATGGGGCCGCAAACCCGCAAGGATTGTCCGATTGAGACAGAATTGTACACAGCGTACTGAATCAAGTCCATTTTGATGTATGTGAACTTTCGTTGAATTCGGTTTAGATTTAGATATAACCCCCGTATAAGGCTTTGTTCGATTTTATGTAAATGGTATGCCAAACTCCCAATATTTGTCCGATTTAGACCAAAATTTGCGCAGCGAACTGAATTAGGTCCAGATATACGATTTTATTTAAAGGGTGCACAGAAGAGCCTATGTTTGTTCGATTTACATGGAATTTAGCAGAGATGAGTTTAGAGTGATGTATATTAATGTTGCAAAAATCGGTTTAGATTTAGATAAATCTCCTATATGTATTTTCGTTTGATTGCTGGTGCACCGAGCGTACGCCTGTTCCACATACACGAGATAAAATTGTGGACAGCTCATTGTGCTGCAGCATTCCAAAGAAAAAATAATGTCGGACCGGTCCGACTTTTGAACTTTCCGTCTGTCCGTTCGATTATTTGTCAAATTTTATATAGGAATATTTGTAAAGGTTGGCAACATTGCATGCCGAATTCAAGTAGAATCTGTGCACGTTGACAGTTAATAGTATAGTCAGCAGCGCATTTTCCAAATCGAAAAGGCTCTACTTTGGCAATTCGGGGCTTTGAACTATGACATACATCTTTGCAGAAAATTATCATTATAGGTATATGTTTTGACACAGACATTTTAAAGGGTTTAGTCGAATTGTCTAACGATAAGGCTCTAAATCGTTATTTCGATGTTTTGTAGGCTGGCATACATCTACGCAGAAAATTAATATTTCCAGATCCATGTTTTGACATAACCCCCATATAAAGACTATAATTTTGGGCTTAACATCAGCTTTTTAGGGGTGATTGGAGGCTGATAAATATTTGAAAATTATCATTATGGGGCCATGTTTTGACATAGAAATTTTTTTTCTAATTTTCGGTAGTTTGAGGGGCTTTTCCACATTTTTCTTGGCATCATTTTTGCTATGTTAAAGTTCCTAATTGACAATATACAATAACATTGCCCTAATAAACACCGTATGGTGGATGGCGTGAATGTTCGTCAGGTTCTAACTTAAGCACGTTTTTAGATATTTTGGTTTTCCGTTATTACAATGATGAATTGATATAAATGTTTCAATGATTTTTGTACAATACCCCGTCATTTCTCAGTATTATAGTATTAATATATAAGCAATGTTATTAAGTAACCAATACATTACCTTATAAAACCCCCAAACATTTAAGCTACTTTGATAAAAAAAAAAAAATAAGCGGAAGCCATTCACTTGGATAATTGTTTCCCATTGTTAACCTTAAATGTATCGACTAGAATCTATGATGACATACATATTTCTTGTCTGTTGTTGGTGTTTGTTTTCTTCCATTTTGTAATGTTTTTACTTACCCTCACGCAAGGTCACTATGTAGTAGGATTCTTTGGATGGAGGACTAATGCCCAGCTTGTTGACTGCTTTCAGACGAAAGCTATAGACGGTGAAGGGTACTAAACCGGTGACTTGATACGATGTCACATTTGATTTTGTTTGTATTTGTGGCACTTCATCCCATTGACCGTTCTCGCCCACTCTGTAAATAGAAAATAGGAAAAAAACGGGATCCAAGTTATTGCAAATGGAAATTGATGGCAAAGTAGCAGAATGTATTAAAGAATAATATTTACTCAACTCAGCAATTCAAGAACTTACAGAGAGAGATAGAAAAGGCGTATGAAGATTGAAGAACCCCGGTGAAGAAGCCTTTTATGTGTGTGTGAGACAGCAACGTACACAGGATTTCATTTCGGGGGGGGCCCGGTAGTACAAAATGAAAAAATTCGCTGTTACAGACATGAATTTACTGTGAAAAAATTTCATTTCGGGGGGGCCCGGGCCCCCTGGGCCGCCCCCCTGCGTACGTCCCTGGTGTGAGAGATAGTGTGTTTGTTTATCATGAATTGTGTTTTAATTCAATCGGTTTTTCTTTTACACTTTTGACCATTCGAAGGACTTTGACAAATACTGGCACTCACTCACACACATACATGCACTTACATACATTCATCTATAAATAAACTTGAGTTTTCCCCCACCCTCTTTTCGAAAGAAAGTTGAAATGTAATGTTTGTTTTGTTCTTAAGAAATAACCACTTAAATGCACATTCGTCTCTGCATTGACCGGTCCAACAACAGCAAGAATTGAATATATTTATTTGAGTGAGTGAGGCCTAGTAGCTTTGTTAGTTGCACAGGGGAGTTTTTGGATATGTGGCCTGATCAAAAAATCAACAATCGATGAAAACTTAGCGATGAAAATGATTTTGGTGAAATCGATAAAAGGGAAATCGTTGATGATATTGGTATATCGTTCGGCTCATGCTGATCAATTTTTATGCATATTTTACGCATGAAGCGTGTTCCAAAAATGCTAAATTTTGAGCAAAAACCCGGCATATGTGAATTATATCTAAGGGGACCTCTTTGAGGGGAACAAAATAATATAAAATTATTTCCATATTCAATTAAAAATAAAGGTTATTTTTTATAATTTTTTCAATTTCCATATTAATATTTCAATTTTCTCTTAATTATGTCACATTTTAAGATTATTTATTAAAATTCCTTACCTTAAACATAGCCATTATTTTGGGATATACAATGTATTTCATAATAATACCATTGATATTTTTATGTAAGAAGCTCTGGTACATTTTAACATATAATTGTTATAAATATTTTAGGAATTATATAAAATATTCTTGGGACTTTTCATGGAATTTTGTGAAATATAAATATTATTTTAAATATTATTAAAAGCAACAGGATTTTACAAACGGCAATTCCATTCATATAAGATGACTATTCTTGGAATGGTAATCTTGCAAATCTTTTTGGATAATAATCCTTTAAGAAAACAAACAATCAAAAAGCACTACACAAAGCAGAAAAATTGGGGGGTGAACCTTTTTTTCTGGCTGCCCTTGATTAACTTAAACCTTTGGGGAAAAGTACAACAATTTATTTGGAAAATCCCTTTTTAACCTGACCGTCCGTTTCCGAATTGTTTGCAATGTAGCATGAATTTGTTTTGGCCACCCCAAAAATATTCCGAATGTCGACAAAAGGTGGCCAACAAAATGGCAATGGAAAGGAACACAAACTTTAATCCCAGACAAACAGTAAACATTTCATGGGGATAACAAAGGCCCCCGAAAAGAAGAAAAAAAAAAATAAAATACTAAACCATCTAAACTATGACCGACAAAAGTATCAACAAAATAATAAAAGATAACAGAAAATGTTAGGCCATAGGCCCTCTGTTACAAGTGTAGCCATGGGAAACGAAAAGGTTGTGTTTGCCAAGTGTTTTTGTTAAAATTTAAAAAATCAACATATCATTTACGGTATCACCAATATGGCTGAAGTAAGACTGTTTTTGCATTTTTTTTTGCTTTGTCGAAGGATCCCTTTACCTAACATCAACAGGGATTTGCTAACCTAACACAAACTCAATGAATTTCATTTCATGTTATAAGTGAGTGTGTGTCTGTGTATGAGAGAGATATGCAGCCGATACAAGTTTGGTATGACGATACACCACAATATACCTAGTTCTTATGTTTATCTCTTACATATGTATGTGTGTATGTATTGTATAACTTACTTTGCAAAAAAACAAACGACAATGACAAGAACAATGCTAACATTTAAGGCCAACAACTCTTTTTATCGTTAATACCCCAAAGAAGAAACCCACAAAAAAGAGCAAACTTCATTTGTTCTACTTTGTTTACATTAGGTTTTTTTGTTTTTGTTTTATTTCGGATTTTATTCAAAGGTTTTAGCAACTCAAACAAATGACTGTGGTCGACACAATTGTTTGCAAGTGGGTTCTTGCCGAATGTAAATGGTCACTTTTGGAAAGGCAATTCTCAAAGAGTATAAATAATGTTGAATACAATTTCGGTACATATACGTACATATATAATTTAGAATTGCCGTGGAAAATTAGTTTATAGGTTTGGTCATTTATACAGGATGTTTAAAAAAAATTGTTGTTCTGATAAACCTGACACTATAAGGTATTTTTTTTTTTTTTTTTGGAAATTTGGCAAATTAAGTGGAATCTACAAGTGGAACTATTAAAAACTACAAAATGTTGATTATATGCTTGAGCCATGTTTGGTTCAGGAATTCGGCTATGATATATCGTAGGCCAATCGACCTACGCAAATTAGTTCAGTGATAAGTCTGAGTGAAGAAATGAAGACCGCGGAGTTTGGCGAGTCTATTATGCGTATAAGAGGTTTTGAGAAGGGTCGATAAGCATATCAGGTGGTGCATAATGAATTCTTGCCACAAGGTCGTATGGTCAATGAGGAATACTATATTGAAGTAACGCGGCGTTTGGTCTATGGAAACGCATAGAATTTTGGAAAAACCAAATATTATTTTTGCACCATTGTAAGTGTGTTTTTTTTTACCAAAAAACAAATGTTAACATGCCTTAACCACCTTATTCCCGGATTTTGTCTCCGTTGATTTGTTACTCATCCCAAAACTGAAGACACCGAGATGGAAAAAAGATAAAAGAAAAATGTAAACTAGGGTATTATATGTGAGTGGAATTTCTTTAAATGGAGATAGGACAGTTTTTATTGAATAAACAAAGTTTCATTTTGTGATCAGCCCTCTTACATCCGCGAGGATGAAAAAGCACATCTTGTGATAATTGGAGTCCTAATATATATTTCAGCAATTTTTAATGGCCTGCCTGCAGACAAAAGACGGCTCTATGCTAAATTTTGGGGATCTATCTCAATTCGTTTTGATGCTGGAGTGATTACAACAGACAGACTGACAAGTGGAGGCATGTCCACTTGTCAGTCGACATTTTACACTGATCAAAAATATATATATACTTTATAGGGAAATGATTATTTCGATGAGAGGGGGTAATGTTAATAATTTTTGTTAGAGGGTTTTGTTACCAAATACGAATACAAACTATACGATACCCTTACCTTATGTACCACTTTCTGTACATACAAAAGATGCTCATATGTACAATATCCTGTAGATATAACTTTGGAGAACCGTGGCTTACACTTTTTAGTATGCTGCGGCACAAATTGCATGAACTCAAACAAAAATACACAAGACATAGATTCCTTGCTGCACCATTTGTATGAAATTCGACGGAAACATATATGGGAGCTATATCTGAATCTGAACTGATTTCAATAAAACTTCACATACATGTTGTCTCAATAGGACAAACCTTGGGGGTTTGGTGCACCATTTATATTAAGTGGGACGGAAATATATACGGGAGCTATATCAAAATCTGAACCTAACAGTCAAGACTAAATTCAATACGCTATACACAATTTCGTGCAAATCGAAATATATATACGGATTTTGGTGCACCATTTACATAAAATCAGCGAAAACATATATGGGAGCTCTATCAACCGATTGCGTGTTTATCCCTAAGACCTCAGAATTGTCTTCTATAAAGCTAGATATGAAATATTAGAAAAATATGCATAATATTACGAATAAATTTTATTCGTAACATTAAGAAAATAATCTTGTTGTGGGTAAATGAGGGCGTATGACTCATGCTACAAACGGGAATAACCCTCATACGCCACCCTGAGAACATAATATAAACGTCACTAAGAGCTCTAATAAAAATCATTTATACGTCTTCATTTTAACATTTATTATCAATATCAGCACTATTAAACACATCAAAAATATGTCTGATGTCAAATAAAAGTTCAAACCGTCATAATACTTTATTTAATATTCATAGCTTGAGTGTTGATTAAAAATTCAAAATATATATGTATGTATGTATCCTCTTCATATTTGTCAATATTTTCAATTGTAATGTTTTTTTCTGTTCTCGAATCATTTAAAAGAATAAAAGTTTCTTAATTCTTGATTTGTTTGCCAGACATTGACATGCAAATAAACCAAAAGACATTCAAACTCGCTTGTAAGTTAAGCCATAAACGTCTAGCCAACAATGGCGCGTGACCTTTTTTCGGCTTTGTAGAGTTTTCTAACTTTCTTAGCACCACACAGACCTTGTCGTCATATTGTGGGGTTGTTGTGTCATGTCCAAGGTCTGCTTTCAATGATTTTTCATGTTTATTTAGAGGTCTATGTAAATTGACAGCTGATTAATAGAGACATCTTCGGTGATGAAATCTATTGATCTTTTGTTGTTTTTTGATTTCCAGTTCAAGAAACAGACATAAGGAGATTTGTGTTACGAAAAAAAACATAGAAATTGACGTACGCAAAAACACGTAAGTGAAGGTTATTACGTAAACATTATATTGATGGATATATACCTAATATATTCCAATTGCCCAATATACAAATTTCTTATAACTATGCATCCACTTTAGGATTTGATAAATAATTCCTTTAATATTTTACTAAAATTCTGTAGTAAACTCTATTAAATTTCCGTTACCTTTCATGATTAATCGACCTTAACCCACATTTCCTTCATCGTGCTTAAACGAAACATAAAATTGATATCATTACTTAAATTAATCTTTTATTTGCATC